TTTAATTTATTCCAATGAAAGAGTTTTGCGGAAGAAATTCAAACTTTTATTCCACAAGCGATTTATAAATCAACTTTTGAGATTTATAAGTTAAAACTAAATGGGTGTTATATGTAGGCATGTATTCCTTAAGCGCACGCCCAGAATAAAAACAAGTAGTTCAGATTCACAAGTCTTCATTTTACATAATTATAGGAAAGATAATAGTATATATTTTGATTTTCGTAGAAGGAGAATTTCTTAATAATTTTTGTTATTTACACGTCAAACAAATGCTAAAAAGAAAAAGATAGGACAAGATGTTATAAGAAATAAGATAGGACCAGATAGGGAAACGCAAGGAACCAAAAAGTATCGGACACCTATCGGTTGATGTAATAGTTTAAGGGTCAGTGAGTTAGATTGGGGTTAACTTAGAATCAAACTGGTATATTAAAATAATATAATTTAATTAAAAATTACAAAAAAATATAACAATTGTTTGATTGTAACAATATTAAAGTACAATAATATTAAAAATTTTAATCTTTACGATTCTTCAAGAACTAAAATTAATAATTATTGATACCAAAATCATAATTAAAATTCATTTAAATCTAGAGTGACTGAAATATTAGGAGCTAGATGAGAAAAAACAGAACTAATAGGAATATAATTATCCAGACAAGTTTATTACCAATTCACCCCCACTACCCGGTTTGACAGGTTTAATAGTCAAATCAGATTGGAACATTGGCCGACTCACTGATTTTCTGGTTGAACCAGCCATTTCAGTCGCATTTTTTTCTTCCTTGGGAAAACATCTATTGATTTTATAAATTTGGTGGGTATATTGATTTTTTACATAACATTAAAATTATTATAATATGATTTTTATATTAAGGTAGGTTGTGATACTTTTTACTAATATTTTAAAATTCTAATTTATTTCAAATTGAATTCAAAATTAGTGTTTCGCCTTCATTGTTTACTTTATGATATTCTTCCACAGATAATTTTGCGATCTCATTTATCATGTATTTAATGGTGTTAATATTTTTGAATTTTTTAATTTTAAAAAATAGGAGCACCCAAAAATATCATTATTATTATAAGGGTAAAGGTGCATCTAGCACCCCAAATTATTTTTGGAGGTGCAATCAGCACCGTGAAGTATAAGAGTGCAATTTTCCCCCTCTACTATTTAGATTGGTGCAATTTCACACTATAACAAACAGATGTGTTAACTGCTGTTTTCCCATTTCCATGTAAACATTAAAAATGCCACCTGTACTTTAAAAAAAACTTCCGCCGAAGCTTCTTCCCCCAATTCTTAGGTTTTGTGTTCAAAGACTGTGAGACTAGGAGAGCTCGGCAACAAAAACGGTGATGTGCAGCTGATAATCTAAAATTCAATCGTGAAATCCACTTTTTTCAGTGTGCATTTTCTTTATTTTTTTCTGGAATTAGAAATCTTTCTTTATGATGTACGCCATTTCTACATTAATTCAAAGCTTCACCCTCTCACTTCATCTCTCCCTCACTACTGCAATCATTTTCCCAAATTAAGCCCACCAACAAATCTACCACCCCTCCAACTCCAAACTCCACAAATTAATCAAAGATTCCATCTTTTTCTCACGCACACACCATCATCTTTATCAATCCGTTTTCCTCTGTTACCACGTCTCGTCTTCTTCACTCACACATGGGTTTCAACTTCACAATCCCTAGATCTTCGATTTATTCAGAATGAGGTGCCTTTTGTTTTTTTTTCTTTGTTAAAAAATCAGGTGGCATCATTAAATACTTACATGGCCTTTTTAATGCATGCATGGAAATGGGAAAACGAAAGTTAATATATCTATTAGTCTAAGGGTGAACTTGCATCAATTTAAATAGTTGAGGGAAAAATTGCACCCTTAAATACTTTAGGGTGCTGGTTGTACCTTTAAAAATAATTTGGGGTGCTAAGTGCACCTTTACCCTTATAATAATAATGATATTTTTTGGTGCACCTTAACTACTCCTGCTTTGAAAATTCAAAAAATATATTAGAAACTTCTCCATTTAAATAACTTTATGAAGACGACCCACATTGTTGACTATTTACTATATTTACTTCGATATTTTCCATTTTAGTTTCATCATTTAACACTCTTGTTTTGAAAATTTGAAGAATGTATTAGGAACCTCAACATTTGAATAAATTCATGGAGGAGACCCACGGTACCAAGTGTCAACTATTTACTACATTTACTTTATTATTTACTCTTTTTATCTTATTTATAAGTCACTTTCAATATGTTTTACATAGGCTAAGAGAAACCTTAAACTTCATTAACTCTTATTTAAAATTTAACAACTTTACAACTTTATTACTATTTAATATATATTATACCTTGTGTAAACAAAGTCAACACAATAATAAATAAAGGATAAAATTATACATCCATATAAAAAATTTTCTCTCAGTATCCTATAAATAGGATTAAAAAATATCTTCTCTTTCTACCTTATAAATAGGATAAGAGAAGTACTACTCTTATTTTGATAATTCGAAAAGTATATTACGATTTCCCACACTTCAATAAATTCATGGAAAAGACATCTGTCACTTACTATTTGCTACATTTATTTGGTTATTGACTATTCTTTGGTTTTGCTAATTATCACTCTAGTTTTGCTTTTTTACTAATCTTGTTTCGAAAATTTAAATAATAATATAAACTTTGCCGACGGCCAACAAGGTTGCCAATGCTGAAACTCTGGAGGATCAGGACGTTTAGGGGCATTAATAAAAATTGGGGGACAGTGATGTCTTCTTGCCGACATTTCAAAGTTTCAGTGTTACTAAAATTCAAAACCCTGATTTAGGGTTTTGTAATTTTAAATGTATATATTTATCATTTTTGTTATTCCAATCCTAATTACTGCCCATATAACCTTTCCTACTGACAGGGGGGATAAGCATTGATTGCGGATCAACCCAAGCAAGTCGGGACGAGAATAAGTTTTATTATATGGCAGATGACGGGAATGTTGTGGACTCGGGTCAAATATATAATTTATCTTCTGAATACGCCCTTGACAGTAACGATGAGCAGGTTTGGCAGCAGATGAACACTCTGAGAAGTTTTCCAGAAGGGAAAAGGAATTGCTATACCCTCAAACCCAAACAAGGCAAAAACAACAGCTTTCTCGTTAGAGCTTACTACAAGTATGGAAATTATGATTACAAAAATTCTGCTCCATTCTTCCAGTTCCATCTTGGTGTCAATTTCTGGACAGGATCGGGTAATACCAGTAACGTTAGAAGAATGGAGGCCATTCATGTGTCTCGAACCAACAATGTTGATGTGTGTCTTATCAACACTGGCCGTGGAATACCCTTCATTTCGTTGCTCGAACTCTGGCCTCTCAAGGATTCTATATATCTGAACGATTCCGATTTCTCGCCGCTAGGCCTCGTGACACGCTCTTCTTTGGGAACATCTAAAGCAGATTATGTTTTCATCACGTAAACTATTTCAATCTATTTGTTAGTAGTACTGACTTTCATTCAACCTGGATTAATTAAGCATGGTTTGTTCTTCAAATAATAATGCAGATACCCAGATGATATCTACGGTAGGTCATGGTTCCTCCGTAGAGAGATCGAAAACTCAGAGCCAATCACCACATCAGTTCCGATCGATGGCGACGTGTCAAACTATAAATTACCCAGAGAATTGTTGAGCACTGCAATTCGTTCACGGAACGTTTCGTCCTCTTTAGTTATCGAGTTGGATTACAGTACAAATTACGAGCACCATGTTTACCTTCATTTTTATGACTTCGAGGAGCATCCTCAAGATCAGCAAAGAAAGATGGAAATTACTTTCACGGATACGATCCGAGAGAACATAACTCTTCAATACCAGGTGCTCAAAACCATGGTGAGGAGAATATCTAAAGGGGAATATCTTAGTAACATTTCAATCACATCCACCCCAGATTCTGGTTTGCCCCCCATGATCAATGCTCTTGAAATCTATAGAGTACTGCCCCAATCGGATTCACCAACTCAGGAAGGGGATGGCAAGTATTACATATTTTGTTATCTTATCATTCTCATTTTACAATTACTTCTAAGAATGAGAGCCCATGTTAGGCTTCTCTGGTCTATCATATTTGTTTTAAATTCATTATCTAGATCTAGCGCCAGATTATTTAAGATTAAGAAAAAGAAAGTGGTTTTAGTTAAGTTAAACATAACAAAATTGTTAGGCGCAGGGTTCGTAATAGAAAAAAAATAACATTCTTTTTGCTTATTTTTATAATAAATTGAAAACAGAACTTTTATGATTTGCGTAAAGTTCTCCCACCAACTCCCCATACTCCAAACAATTTTCTCATGTTTAATTAACCAAATTCGCATGCGAGCTTCTTTTACATGAATTATTATCAGTCTCTACACATTGATCTTTGATTCTAACTGATCATCTTTGACAGTGAATGCTATGCGGATTGTGAAACACGCATATAAAATCACCAGAAATTGGCAAGGAGATCCCTGCATGCCACGCAGTTATAGTTGGGACGGTCTGAATTGTAGTTACTTTGACAACATTCCCAGGATCACTTCATTGTGAGTAGTCTTTTGATCTTTTAAAATTTTGTTAGGTTTGATAAGCCAAGTATATTCCGCTGTTCATGCTGTTAATTTATTGATGTGTCAATCAATATTGCTCAAGGAGCTGTAAGGAGTTTACATATTTGTTGTGACGTCCACTATCTCCCTTCGTCCTTGCTCATTATAGTGAAATTTCCATTCTTGACCACATATGAGCAGGAACTTGAGCTCAAGCAAAATGACTGGACGGATAAATTCTTCATTTTCTGACCTCATATCATTGGAGTCCCTGTAAGTATTTAAGTAATACCGACCTAAATTTTTTTGAGTCTACGTTCATTGTCTGAGCAAAGCATAATAACTCCCATGCAATAACTTCATCTGATTAATATGTCTCATGTTGTAGCGATTTGTCCAACAATCAATTGACGGGAGAAATACCTGAAGTTTTAGGAAAACTACCCAATTTGAAACTACTGTAAGTTGCAATGCTTTAGCATATACATAGAGGAATAATACTAGAAAGTCCAACAAATATATTGTGATTTTCTCATGTGATGTTTTAGCAGTAATTTGTCAGGGAACAATCTAAGTGGTCCAATTCCAAAGGCCCTAACGGAGAAGAACGGCAATCCTTTAATATTGAGGTTTGATTTGCTTATTGCAACACACTTAATTCATTCATCTGCAGTTGCATTGTCTGCATAGAATGGCACTCCTTCTGCTTTGATTGAGAATATTCAGAAGAACTTCTATTCTCTCGTCCTTCACTGGTGTATTTTAGTTTCAAACACATTATTAGTAATTTTCTTCATTTAGGATACTATTAACAGTCTTATATATTGCCAGATGCTAGCTTTTTGCATAGCAATATACAGATGATGTTCTATCATGCGACTCGCAGTTACTAACTGGTGCCTTTTCTTTCCTTTCCTTTCCCTTCCCCTAGTTTGGATGGAAATCCAAGTTTCTGTCAGATGGGTGCTTGCAAAAGCAAAACCAAACCAAAGAAGCCCATTATACCAATTATTGCATCCGTAATACCTTCTGTAGCAGTCCTGTTAGTAGTAATCTGCATTTATGTGAAGCTTTGCAAACATAAAAAGAAAACACAAAGTGATATGGAAGGTATCCCAGGTGAGCTTACACCCTCAGTCTTCTTTATATCCATTTTTCCTTTGAGAATCTTTGGAAAGCATTTATTGTTTTACAAATTTCGTGCTTTAATCTACTTTACTACTTGTCGCGTTGTTCTTCATCATTTTTGGATCAATTCTCACCAGTCACCAGTCACCACAATCATTTACTAGTATGAGAAAGTTCATTTTAAAAATAAGAACCTTTTATGAGATCATTTTCTCAGCTGTCTACCGCATTTATTATTTTTGACGAAAACGCTCCAGTATTAAATATGCACATGTTAAGTTACTTGACTAATTAATGGAGGCTTTCTCACATTAATTACATTGAAGAATATTACTACAAAATAGTGTCAATTATTGACAAATTTATTGTTTTTAATTAACATAACTACGGTAATTAAAATTTAAAAGATTATTGTAATTAGTAGAAATGAAGAGACTGGTTGACAATAACTAAGAGGAGAACCGTTAATTAAGGATGAAACATGAAAAGTTATAAAGTGCTAATTTAAGGATTGATTAATTAGAGAGGTAGGACGCCAAATGCATTACCCGGAACGTAATTTTCCTTTGTGCATGTATGCAATAGAAATAGTCCTTTATTATACTTAATAGAAGATCATTTAGAAAATTTAATAAAACATTTATAATGTATTTCGGAAAATGCCCTTTCTTTTTCACTCTCTTAGCTTGATGATGACTTTCCCATCCTCACACAACGAATTATACCAATCAAAGAGAAATTTTGGAAAGTTGTAAAAAATTCTAAAATTTAACTGCTTTTAGCTAATTTATTTAATCTCCCAGAAGTAATTAACATGGCTTTATAAAAGAGACATAAGTGAGTGATTAAAAATGTCTGAACATTTTATTGTACATATGTTTATTTCTAAGGTAATCCAAGTTCAATCATTAATACATGATGCTATTGGAATTTCTCTTCCATTTGTAGTGACATCATTTCAAAATGACGGGAATCTAAAATCGAAAAACCGTGCTTTTAATCACTTGCAAGTTCTTAGTATTACCAATTCCTTTGAGATTGTTATCGGACAAGGGGGGTTTGGCAAAGTGTACCTGGGCACACTACAAGATGGTACAAAAGTTGCAGTCAAGTTACTCTCAAAATCATCACAACAAGGGTTTAAGGAATTTCAGTCAGAGGTTAGAAGAAAAAGTCATCAATTATAGACGTTGGGTTTGAATGTTTCCTTTATATAAATTGAACTTTTGATGGTGACACGAAATGCAGGCAGAACTTTTGATGGTTGTTCATCATAGGAACTTGGTTTCTCTTGTTGGCTATTGTAACGATGGTGACACGAAAGCACTAGTTTATGAATACATGGATGAAGGAAATCTCCGACAGAAATTATCAGGTTTGTTAATTACAATACATATCTCAATACTTATTCCTCTAGCTTAATTTCGAGTCTTGTTAAAAGTTGTTTTAGGATTTGTCTTGACATTATTGCTCTAAGAAACATCAAGGCAATGAATTGAAAAATAAAAAGGAAGAGGAAAGGATGGTAACTATACAAGTGATAAATCATTACTGAGTTTGTGCGGTACTTGACATTTTTCTATGCGCAACCTAAATATTTTGCAGATAAGAATCCATATGCTTTGAAATGGAATGAGAGACTTCAGATAGCATTGGATGCAGCATGTGGTGTGTAAAATAATAGTCTTTTCCCTTCTTTGAAATTGTCAATCCATGTTCCTTTGCTTTTACTCTTTTTCATTGTTTTTAATGATTTTCGCTTTATTTTAACTTCAAAAGTTACCTGGTTGCTCAACAAAAATGCAGGATTGGACTATCTACATAATGGTTGTAAGCCAGCCATAATTCATAGAGACTTGAAACCTTCCAACATCTTGTTAAGCAAAAACATGCAAGCTAAGATTGCTGACTTTGGATTATCCAGGGCTTTTTTTGATGATACTGATATGCAGTATTCAACTTGTCCTGCTGGCACAATTGGTTATCTGGATCCCGAGTACGTATTTCTTTTCTAATTTCTAAACTTTTACCGGTACTCCTTGATGCAAAAACTCTTTAATTAACTTTTGAGCAATTCATTAAGATAGAAATTTGTTCTAGCTTTACCCACACATGTGCAAGTCAAGATAATCCGCAACTGATGATGGAGCAGTGATTGTGCCTAAAATATGCTTAGCTTAATTTTCTCAAAATTTATAGATTCCATGATGTTGAAAATCTAAACAAACGTACGAGATTTTTCCAGTATATAGATCAACTTTTAGCTAACTTTAGTAGAACAGATTGAAAATGGCGTTCTTATCACTTGAAAGATATAGCATTACATTTTTTTCCGGCCAAATGCATTAAAATGCAAATTTATTGATGGATACTCCATCTTGAAAAATTTACAGATTCCATAGCTGTGGAAACCTGAATAAGAAAAGCGATGTTTATAGTTTTGGGATAATTTTGCTTGAGCTTATGAGTGGTCGGCCAGCGGTAATAGGAGCATCTGGCAGCAAAAGTCACATATCTGATTGGGTGGCTCCAAAGCTGGAGAGTGGGGACATCCAATCCATTATGGATCCAAGATTAGTGGGAAAGTTCAGTACTGCTTCAGCATGGAAATTTTTAGAGATAGCGATGTCTTGCATTCCACAAGTTGCAATTCAAAGGCCTGATATAGGCCATGTAGTAGCTGATTTAAAGGAATGTCTGGCCTTGGAAATGTCCCTTCAAAATGCAGAAAGTAACAGGGGAACTTCTGGATCTGCTTTGAGTACCACTTATTTTCCACTTGAATCAAACTCCGGTCCATGTGCCAGGTAGGATTATTTGCAGAGCCTAGCAGTCTCTCCCAACCAATCATCCAATCCAACCAGAGAGATTTGTTCTGTTTAGTCAAGTAATCATGTTTCTTTGCTGTATTTTCTAGCAAGCCTGTTTGTCAAAGGTTAGGTTGGCTCATGAGATGAAGAAATTTGTGAATGACTTTGCACCAAATTGTTACCACTTTATGCTGAAGTTTTGTATTTGTTCCTTTTTTTAATTCGGTGAAAAACTCATGTCTTGAAGTGGAAACAAGGCCGCATGGAATAATCATATTCTGCTAAATGCTCTGATTTCAGTTTGTTCGTTTTTCATTTCTTCTTCCTCCATTATGGAGGTGAATAGAACTATATATATCTACATAGTGGCAGCAATCATCCTCTAAATGACGGAGACATGAAGACATCTGACATTTTACCAAATGAACAGATACAAGCCGAGACTGTAAATTTTAGCTGGTGATAACGAGCTTCATTTAGTGGTATTTCGTAATTCAACATTTGTTTTTAATTTGGAAGGAATGATGTGTGATTCATTTTTTAGGCAAAATGACGTATTTGCTTTCATCAGTTTTGCAAGATCACAGTCTAAATTTAGATAAATCTGTTCTGATAATGTAATTTTGCGGCTCAGTAGAGTACAATATTCAGGAGAAAGGAAACACTATAATTTACATAATAATTATATAAATTGTTGTAGCTGGAGCACAACAAGGAGGTGGGAGATGGCTGGCAGTAAATGGTACTAAAAGATTAAAGGTTCCAGGTTCGAATCCTCCAATTGTTCAGAGAAAATATCTTTTTTCTCCTATTTTATAAGAGTTCCCCAAATGCTTAAAAAAAAAAACAACTAAAACTAAGTGGCATCAAATAAATAATGCCATCGTCCTTTTTGTTTTTGTTCAGCGAAAGAGGGAGTAGATGTAGGAGAAGGTTCGTGACTTGAAAGCTGAAAACCCCAGCCACTCTTTACCTCCGTCCTACTCCACTGATGTCGCCGTTCACTGCCACTTTCTTCTCCTTCATTCAAGGTCCTTTTTTCCTCTTCTCTCTCTCTTTTCTTCCTTCCCCTGTTCCGCACTAATATCTGCTTCTTCCTCCTTAATATTTCAGTTCGTTGTTCTCTTTCTCTTCCTCCTTAAGCGATTTCCATAGCTGAAACACAAGGAGGAGTTGCAAGATTTTTCAGCGCCTCTAGTATCTCTTCATTGCCATTTTCTTTTTGCTGCTGTCAAGAGTTACGCCTGTTTAAGGAAAAACGATTCTGTTCTGCTAAAGTACACGATTAAAGGCATTTTGAGCCATATTTCTTCTCCTTCACAGTTACATCTAGTTAATTTCAGAAAGGAGAACTCTTGGGCCTATTTAGAAGAGGTAGGAAGGATCTTATTTGTTGAAAGGTAATTTACAATCTTGATCAGAGGAATCATTTGAGGCTTGTGATTGGGTAGTGCTGTTTATTTTGTTTCATATGATGCGTGTTAATGGGAAAAAAAAAACAAGTGTTTGAGGAATGTTCTTAGATTGGATGAATGTTAGTCCTGCGAACCAGTTTTGAATGCCTTTAATATGCTTGGTAAAATGCTTACATGAGGAAAAGAATTGTTGATAGGTGTTGCTATGATATCTTGACGGAGGAGAGTAAAATAGATATTATTTGGATTAATTAGGATATAATCATTGGTCTCCATGAAGTGGTTGAAGGACGTAAGAGCTAGCAGTCTTTATATATAGAGAAATTGAATTTGTTAGTACGGGTGGTGCTATTGATTATGTTGAGTTATAAGTTATATGTAATGTTCCCAGCTCACGTGCTAATCCGTAGATGTTTGCAATATTCTTGGTTGGGTTGTTAAGGTTGGTTGAGGTTGTTGTTGAATGATTTAAAAAGTATGAGTATAAGTCAGATAAAAAAAAAAATAATAATAAAAATATTGATCCTAAGTATAAATGTGATGTCAAAAAATTTATAAATGAGAAAGTCTGCGATTTTTTTAGTGGAGCTTTGACATTTTGATTTTGGGTTATTAGGGGATTGAGGAGTGAATTTATCTCAAGGTTTTATAAACCAAAACCATTTAAAGGTGGGAGCACAAGAGGTGAGTGGATAACATCCCATTATTATAAATTTTACGAGTAAGCTTTTATTGTTATTGACTCAATTAAACTTTCAGTTTTTCT